AAAAAATCTTAGTAGTAGTGTAATATACAATTACAATTATTTTTCTAGTGCTTAATTGTCAATGTCATACTGCCAAAAATTGAAATGGCCTTCAAATTAAGCTCCATTTCAAGTGAAATATGGTTTATTATTTACTTTGATTTGAAAGTGAACATGACTTGTACATGTTCTTCAAAAGTTTAATGAGATTTACCAGAAAAACAAGTCTTAGAATCACAATATATACTGTCAGTGCATTTTATCACAGTCAGAAAATCCTGTTTTCTTCATCTGCCTCATTGTGTACTGAACAATGTGTACTGGAAGAGGTGTGCATATTTTACTGTGATCCTGCCATACACCAGGAAATAGACTGATATCAGCCTCACCCATTTTCGTATGAAGATGTAGGAGGGCTTTGATTTAGTTGTGATTCAAGGAATGTTTAAACTGGATTATTCATCAGCCATTTCTAGCTTAAGCAGAATAAATAACACATAAGTATCAATAAAGCCATTCAGTATTCCATGTAAAGTAGTTTCCTCTAAATTTGATTATATTAGCAGATAACATCAATTTCATGTGCCACTTGCTTTGACGTTTTGCAATATGCAGTGACATTTAGGCATGTCCACATACAAATTGGGGGCTCTCTGTGTGGTAAATATGAGGCTTAATAATGCATTCTGTCATCCAGACAGTGGGATCAATGGAAATAAACATTCCCATTCTCATCTTGTGCATTGAGTATGGCCATTGTAGTTCTGTGACTGAATGACCGCTCTCTGTGGGCTGTTGTGTTCTCGTAGCTGCCAGTCTAAAGCAACATCTCACCCACAGTGACACAGCGCTCGAGAGAATGAATAACGCTGTTCTGAGTACTGCATCAGTGTATGTACACAGTAGTTAGGGATCAGACATTAACACTGTTTAAAAGCTGCATGTGTTTCTTGGCTGAAGCCATTTGCACTTTTCAAAAAATTGAGCTCATTTTGAGTCAAACATCATAACCTACGGTGAACAAACAAGTAATCCATGCTTATTTAGTGAAGTGTTTCGACTGATTCAGTCTATGATTCAACCAGATGACTCCTCTGATTCATTTAAAAGAACTGCACTGATTCGGAGTCAGTAAGGACAACACAATTTGTGAAAGTTTTGTTGCTATATTTTACTTTTCAAAGGTTTGGGCTCTGCATGTTATGGAATATTATTTCAATATAAAATAGCTTTTTTTCTATTTGAATATATTTTAAAATGTAATTT